AAAAGTCTTATTCATTATGTGCGTTTTTCCTAGTCCCTCTCTGATACAAAGACCCATGAACATGAGCGTAAAACATTCTGAGTGTCAGAGATATGATTTTGCTAAAGTTGCTTTTTCAGTTGAAGATGATTTGAATACTCTTCACAAGCACAGCGCTCTTAGTCGCTTCTCCCCTTATTGCAGCGTGTATATGTGGGGACAGATGAGGCTAATCGTACGAGATTAACTCCCCAATAGTCAGTCACTTAACAGCGGTCCCCTTTGATCACGTATGCAAATGTTTGCATGCATGACCCTGCAGACGGCGGGCGAGGGCAGCTTAGACTCGGATGGAACGTCTTCCCATCCGGGTTATCTCGTCCCTGTCCCCGAGTCTCGACGACCTCACCCGGCCGCCCCCCGCATACCGTATTCTACGGGGGGCCACTGAGTGAGTGCGAGAGTGTAGGCGGAGTGTAGAGAGGCACTGGACTGCCTTTGCAACAACTCATAAATCGCGGCGCTACACGTTTCCAATGTGCGTCCGTGACTTATGACCGCTTTCACGACTATCAACTACTTCCAAGTCATGATTTAAGCGACCACTGCTATTTAGCGCACTCTCAACTCGAAGAATCAATTATCGTAGTTCGAGTCGGTTCGTCCATGTCTAGTAGAAAGAAACTGTTCAAAACACTTCGTACTTGACGAAATGACCTCCAAATTCCTTTTCTACCACCTACGTAGAAAACGCGCCAATTTTTTCCCCTTCAACGGGCCACCGCAGCAAACCACGCAATAATCATCGCCAATCACACGAGCTTTGTCGGAAAATCATCATCATCTCGAAATATTCATGAGAGCAACGCGATATCGCGTGTCTATTCTCAATCGAAAACAGATCGCCTCTCGATTGGCGGCACACGTTCGCTTGAGCTGAGCTCATCAGTCACCGACATTCTGCCACTAAGCGCTTTGTTTGCATGATTTACACAGCCAGTGGAGATATCGTGCTAACCTTTCCCGACTTCAGCACTTCACATCCACAAATCGAGCTGGCCACGATATCATCGAATTGGCTGAGACGTTCACTATTTCACTCTAACACAACTCCTCTTAACTCAGTCTCCGCTGCTTTATCTCTCCTGTTCCTTTTTCTCGCGTTGATAGTGCTTATCTTGCTTGTCGCTTGCACCCAATAAATTCATGCACCGCTTGTGCTTCGATTTATGACTACACGCAATCGTCGTAATTTGTGACATTAAATTGTTTCCTTCTTTATTGTTTTCAATCAGCTGTGAACTAAGTGTAACTCTTGATGATTAATGCCTGCACGCGCGCATCATCTCTTCTGACTTATTGCTAGAACGAAACAACTTGAATCTTTATGGCTGATATTCTTGGGCATCGACTAAAACAACGCCGGTATACTTTGGATTGTCTTCACCAAAATTCGAACTGAATTCTCAGAAAGGAAAATGAAGTCATCCCACTTACTCCTTATTACTTTTGACCTTTGTAAAAAACTACTACTCACGTTAAAAATTACTGCCGCATTGATCATAAAATTAGTGCAACGTTGACATAAATCTTATCTAATACAAAATCTATCACCTTTGCAGATAATGTGGAATGGGTCACTCATACTAGCAGTGATTACGACCTGTCATGTTTTCGGGGCTATCGCTGTCGTCGGGGTTGAACCAACTATAAGTGAGTCAGATCTCTTTAAGAGTTGTTGATATAGCACCTATCTTCGTGAAAAAAGTACTCATTTGAAGGCTTTTTCGATGGGAATGATTATATGAATCAGTGCAAGACAAGATTGGAGCGTCGGATCACAGGTAAGACCTAGTTCCCATCGTTACAAAAAATTAGGTTGTCCTATAAGTCTTTCATATTTGTGCCTCGGCATAATTTCTTCTTGTATCATTCAAAATGATAAAGGTGGTGTTCGACAAAACAGAGCAAGCTCTAAAAGTTGGTGTTTTAGAGTGCGCAGCAAACATGATTTATAAAGTTTCAAGCTAAGAAAAAATTGTATTTCAGTTTGAAAACATTCTGCCGATTTCTCTCTCTCTCATTTGCTCACGCATATACTCTCCACACCAAAATTTACATATGCACTTGCCGCATTTTTTATGACTAATTAAGAAAAAATGTGGGCATAAATTGGCAAACCCCGCCTCTAGTAGTTCTGGCTTCATCACACAAATGTGTTTATAAAGCTTATTATAGCGCAGAAATGTTGTCCTAAATTTGAGCTCTTGTAGGGGGTCTCAGTTCTTGAAAAATACCATTCAAAGATCGACTATCGACTAGATCTACTAAGTAATCACACTTAGGTCTTTCTGGCGTAATCTACTCGCATTCGCTCTATGGCAGAGTTCCCTACAATGCGAGCAGGAACTGCTTTGTGATGCTTGTAGCTCCTATCGGTTACCGCATTCGGTTGAGAGTTCTGGAATTTGACGTGAATGGCCAAAGTTCGAACTGCGAGAAGGACACACTGCATGTCTTCGATGTGAGTAAGCAAATGTAGAAGATTTGCTCCTGAACTCAAATTTGTGCACTTTAGCACGAGACCGTGATTGATCCCAGCTCCCCCCATTTCCAAAACAGCGACTCCATCACTCCAGGACCTATAATAGGTGGGTGATGGATATTAGGGAAATGAGTTAAAATTAGAACTTTGCTTTCCCAGGCCAATTTTGCGGTAAGCGAACAAATGCTAGCGAACTGAGCTCGAGCACTCTGAATGCGCTCACCCTCTGGTGGCACACTGATCCTCTGCTCGCACAACAACATCCAGCAAAAGGATTCCGTCTTCAGTGGAATGCTTTCCGAGTCACAGCCAATGGTTAGCCTACTGAGCAGTCAGCGTCCGGAAATAAACATAGTCCATTTTTCAGTTCCATGCTCACCTTCTCGGGAGTTCGCATGCGGAGGAAATGAGTGCATTCCAATCCAGCTGGCCTGCGACCGCTTCGCGGATTGTCGCGATGAATCCGACGTCATCTACACAAGGCAATTTGCCGCTAACTGTGAAAGTGAGACATTGCAGCCATTAGAAATAAGAAAACAGCAATTGGCATGGCTAGGCGCCTCCATGACCTCCATTGTAGAGAGCACTACGCTCGTTGTAGTCTTCCGTACTGCATTTCGTAAGCCTCGACGAAGTTGAGTTCAGGGGCCGGCACAGGTGGTTTCGGGTCAAACGGAACTTCGTTTTTGAGGGCGAAGATACGCAAAATTGTGG